TAAAACTTGTGTTTCCCCATACATAGAACATAGTTTGTTTGCTCTTCCAGAACTATTTTACCCCCTGAACCTTCTTTAGGTGACTGCTCTGGATACATTACATCAAGGGGCTCCAGGTTCTCTGCCTCCTATGCTGGTTTAACCAGATGGCTACCCTGGCAGAAGACGGAGGCAGAGATGAGAGTGAGGTGCAGAGAGGAGGGACAAGGCGGCGGAGGGGCATAGACTGTTTCTTAGAAATGCTGGGTATCTGGGGTATGGGAAGGTAAAGCCCAGTGAAGAACCTGAAATTCTTTGGGCAGAACCGTTTGTGAGTCCTCATACATCAATCCTTCTCATTATTACAGGTCACCAAAGAATGCTCTCCATATTCTCCACACAGCAAGAAAGTTTTGGTCTTTTTAAACAGTATCTCTCTCTACATCTATTTATAGGTGTGTGTGTATATATATATATATATATAATATTTCATATGTGTAGCTATATATATGAAATTACATATTATAAATATATAAAATTATATATCTATCCTGTAATAAATAATATTACACATTATATAATACAAATGTAATCTGTTATGGTATTTTATATGAAATAAATTATACACAATATATTTGATGTTATATAATATATAATTATTCTAGTATTATATATTATTGGGTTGGCCAAAAAGTTCATTAGTTTTTTTCCATAAGCTGGCTGTGGTAGCACTTAGTTGTCTTTAACTTCATTTGAAACAATTTTGTTAGATTGTATTGTGACAGTTGTCATGTCAGCATGCATTAAAAAAACTTATCGAAAGTGGTGAAGTTTTGTGCAGCTGTTTCAATATTGAATATGGAAGAAAATACACAACATTTTCAGCATATTACACCAAATAAAGGTACAAACATGACTGAAATGCAAAAAAAAAAAAAAGATTTGTGCAGTACGTGGAGAAGGTGCTGTGACTGTTCAAACATCCAAAATAGTTTGCAAAGTTTTTTGCTGGAGATTTTTTGCTGGATGATGCTCCATGGTCAGGTAGACCAGTTATAGTTGATAGTGATCAAACTGAGACATTAATTGAGAAAAATCAACATTACACCATGTGGGAGATAGCTGACATACTCAAAATATCCAAATCAATAAAGTTATTTATTGGTGAAAATTAAAAAATGTGTCTTTTATTTTAGGGGAAAAATATAAACTTTTTGTCCAACACAAATATATGATAAAATATATTACATTATAATGTGTTACGTATCTATATCTATCTCTATATATAATTGACCCTTGAACGACACAAGTTTAAACCACACAGATCCACCTACATGAACATATTTTTCAATCACTATCTGTGCTCTTTTCCGTTGGCAATTAGGAGTCTGTGGATGAGGAGGGCCGACTATTCATGCATTGTTTTGGACCACTTTATAGAGGGTACTTAACCTTCGGCAGATTTTGGTATATGTGGTGCCCCTAACCTCCGCATTGTTCCAAGGTCAACTGTATGTATACATGTGTATGCATATGCACACATGCACACACATGTAAATGCGCATGCACGTGTATAGTATGTGTGTGCACATACGCGTACATGTATGTGTATATGTGCGTGTGTGTGGGACTTTAAAGGAAACTAATCAAAATATTAATCATGATAATCTCTAGGCAATGACATTTGACATTTTGAGTGTGCTCTGTTTTACTTTATACTTTATTGCATGTCAACTGTTTTAAATAATATTGAATTACTGATTCTGAGAGAAAGCCATTTAACATATATTTCTGACTTTAAAATGTAAGCACTCTGTGAGTGGGGGTGAAGGATGATAAGCAATCTTTTGAACAGTGGAGCAGATGAGTTTATAAGATCCAGGGCCGAGAAGAGTATGCAGGTAGGATGCTTAGAGAACGGAGGAGCGGAAGTGAGCCCCCACTAGGAAAAGGCAAGGCTGCAGAGAAGGAAGCTGGAGGGATTGAACATCACCCTCAACTCTCTCCATGCCAAGTATAAGACCAGCTTCTACAATAGCAAGAGCTTTTTCTGGCAGAAGCTTGTCACTTGTAACCTATAAGGAGTGGCTATGTACATTAACATGAAATAACAGAGAGAAGGGAAGAAACAAGAAGAAATTGAAACAAAGTTCACAGTGCTTGTGGTATTTTAGTAGGAACTTCTCTCCCTTCAAAGTTCTATAATGATGACTACCTATGACTGGTTTCCATTCTAATTAATGCCCCTGAATGGATGAGAAAAAGCATTGTCTAAAGGGTTGTGGTATGACTAACTAATGTTATCATGGAAACTCATGGGACTTTACTCAATCTTAATTTTTTTCATAATTAGACACAATGCCACCTTCCTATCCCCTACTGATTTTTATTTGGTTTGGTTTGGTTTTGTGTATGTGTCTATTTGGTTGTTTTGTTTTGCTTTTTTGCCAAAAATCTTTTTCCATGACCCTTTCTTGGGAAGGTGCCTTGGGTAGTCCATGTCCCATCAATAAAGCCCTCTACTTTTCTCCAGGGCCTCCTCTAGATGACCTTTTTCTTCTAGGTTTTGACAACCTTTGGCCTTCCTTCATTCCTTCAGACTTAAGGGTGGTAAGAACTCCAATGCTAATAGCCCAGGGTTATTGCATTGTACCCTGGTCTTTGCCTTTCCCACTACTTTGTAAACAAATATTTTGTAAATAAACCTTCCAAGAACTATCTGAATTTGATTGTGCTGCCTGTTTCCTACTGGGGCTCTGAGAGCTGTGTCCCTCTCACCCCAACCATCCTGTCTGTACTGTCCAATGTGGTGGCCACTAGAACCAGGTGGGCCACGGGGGGGGGGGTATTCAGCACTTGAAATGTGGTTCGTGCCAATAAAGAAGTGCTGGAAACATAAAACACACACGGATTTCGAAGACTTGGTAGGCAAGGAAAGAACAAAAGTGACTTCAATAATTTTCATACTGACTACATGCAGAAATCACACTTTTAGGTAGATTAGATATATTACTAAAATTAATTCCACCTGTTCCTTTTTTACATTTTTAAAGGTGGCTACTAGAAACTTTAAATTACTGGTAAGGCTTGTATCTGAGGCTCATATTTTATTTCTAACGTGCAGAGAGGCCCTAGATAATGAGTGGTCCTGGGAACCATGTCTCCTACCGGACGTGTATTTTTAATGCCTACAGAAAGGAGTCACCTCTGCCCGGATGTGAAAGTGGAAGCACGCAGTATCCTACCATGTGGGAGCTCCATGGGGGCTCCATGGGAGCTTGGAGACCACCACTTTCAGGGTGAGAAAACAGAAGCATGTTTGTTTGTTAGCATTTATGGGATTGCACATGCCTTCAGAATAACTTAAAAATGGTGATTTTCTTTCTTTCTTCCTTTCTTTCTTGTTTGCCTTCCTTCTGGAACTCAGAATGAAATATCTAGAGAAAAATTAAAATATACTAAATCTCAAGTTAGTATTAAATCTCAACTGGTTTGTCAATATCCAATTTTAATGCACAAACAGGCATTAAAGCTTGGCAGGACTTGTTTGTTATCCTTGTAAAAGCCATTGCTTTATGGCATCAGAATCTAATGAGCTCTTCACTGGCTCGTAGAGTAGCTTGGGTCTGGTACTTCATAAACATAAAACTATGCCAGGCACTGAGTATTTATCCAGGGGGCACACATACCCCAGTTTCGCCCAAGCAGAGTTAGAACAACTTAGGCCCCTTCGGAAGGTTCAGAAGGACTTCCCTGACTTCCACTTCCATTGTCAAACAGAGCGCAGGCGAGGGGAAGGCTGCAAGTCCCAACACTGGGCACCAGGAATCCCCTGCGTGTCCTGCAGCTCTGATGCTGCGCCTGCGGCAGCAGTGGGCGCGGACAGCTGCCCCTACAGCTTCCAGGGTTTGGTGTGCAGCGGCCAGGCTACCGCCCACATGGCAGGGCGTCCCGCCCAGACGCGGAAGCCAAGAAATCAAAAACAAATCGGAATGGAATAAGAACCACCTCAAGCAGGTTCCACGGGCCACCTCCCTCCGTTACACAGCGAGGCCATTTGTATTCCTTCCTGACCCGCTCTCCCAGGAGCGCAAGAGGAGGATGTGGGGTCAGGGGAGGCAAGAAAGAGGAAACCGCCGTTTAGGAAGGACACAACTCCTTCGCACACGCGTGTGCACACACGCACAAACAGCATTAAAAAAATTCCTTCATCAAAAACTGAGCATATGGATTTGGAATCGGAGCTGTTATTTTCTTTAAATCTTACTTTCTTCCCTTGATTTATTGGCTTATTTCCTTAGAGGTAGTTCCTTTCTGGGGAACACTTGATCATTCTAAATGAACAGAAAGGAAAATAATCAAAAGGAAACAACGATAAAACACTGCTGAGGGAAGAAAAGGCTCCGCTCAAGGGCCCCCTGGGCAGGGGAGTAGGTGCGAGTCGCGGCGGTTCTGGAGGAATTCAGTTCGCCGGAGACGAACGGGGACGTGGCGTGAAGCCCGGTACTGGGAACCGCAGCCAACAAAACTTCGGGGAGTTGGTCCGGGGAGCCAACAAAGGTTCGGGGAGGTGGTCCGGGCTGCGCGCGGGAAGGATGTGACTACAAAGGCTGGAGGGAAGCTGAGCACAGGGGACTTGGGGGTGCAGGGAGGGGGGACAGGACTGCGAAGGGCTGAGGTAGTCAGAGAGGTTCAGAGCCCCTAATCCAGGGAGTCGTCGGCTGGGTGGAAGGCAGGCCCCCGGGGATCCGCCCGGCTCTAGCTGTCAGTCAGACAACCCGGGGCCTCCGCAGCCCCCAGCTGCGCTGAAAAGGGGGGAGGCTGCTGGCCCGGGAGGGGGTTGGAGGAGGCGGAGTGGGGGGAAGGGGCGTCACCTCGGTCGCCCCCGCCCTCTCCAATGTCATTGGGCTGCCGCAGTAGGGTCCGCGCCACCTTTTCTCCATCCCAGCGCACTCGGCCAGGGGCCATTGACGTCACCGCCAAGTTTGCAGCCCCCGGGCGCCGCACGTGTGGCGGCGGCGGCGACGGTCTGGGAGGCGACGAGGGAGTGGCCGCGGTCACTGACAGGTCCAGAGCAGCCCGACCCCACCACGTAGCACCCAGGTAGGGCGCGAGAACAGTTCGGAGTGGCCAGGCGCTCCCCCAAAGGGGCGGACTGCTGGGCGCCGGCCTTCTGGCTCTCACTCGGGCAGCGGGACTCCGGCGGACCTTGCACGGGGGCGGAGAGGGAGCGCCCTGGCCGACGAGAAGACAGGGCAGCCGGGGCAGGGAGGCACAGTCTCTTGCCGCTGTCTGGAGCGCACCCAGCTCAGCAGCACCGGAGCAATGCCTCCCCTCGCCGGGACGGAGCGAGGGATGCACGGTCGCTGAGCGGAGATCCGTGCCGAGGGGCCGCTCCGGGGCCCGGGCTGAGACACACGCCTTCGCCACCGCGACCAAGACCCCCATTTCCGCGACTCTAAGAGAACTAGCGCGCCGAAACCTGCCACAAGACTCAGGACTTCCCGAGTTTAAGACGATGGTTTCTTAAGCACAGCACCACGTCCCCCTGTCCGCCCCCTAGACCGGAGGCAGGGACCCCGCGCCTGGTTCCCGGGGCTGCGTCTCCGAGAGGAGTCCCGGCTGCCGCCTCCCGGGGCAGCCCGCTCGGCCGCAGGGACGCACCGGGGAGGCGGCCTCCGTCCAGTGCGCGGCCCCTCCTGGAGGATGCCATGGCACCTGAACGAGTCCCGGCCTAGCATGGCCTGCAGGCTTCTCGACGTCGCCTCCGGCTAGGATGGCCCCTCCGGGCCCGGCCGGTGCCCACCCCGCCACCGCCGAGCCGCTGTCCCGCAGCATCTTCCGGAAGTTCTTGTGGATGCTCTGCTCCCTGCTCACCTCCCTTTACGTTTTCTACTGCCTGGCCGAGCGCTGCCAGACCCTGTCCGGCCCTGTCGTGGGGCTGTCCGGCGCTGGCGAGGAGGCGGGGGCCCCAGGTCCCGGAGTCCCGGGGGGAGGCCCGAGGGAGCTGGCCGTGTGGTCCGCGGCGGCGCACGGAAAGCGCTTCTTGCAATTGCTGCCGGGGCGGAGGCGCCGGCGGCCCACAGGGCGCGACGGCGGCGGGGAGGCCGCCTGGGAAGAGGAGACCGCCAGCCTAGCCGGGGGTCCCGGTGGCTCTGGGGCGGGGAGCAGCGTGGCCGAGGCCCCGCCGGGGACGCTGGCGCTGCTGCTGGATGAAGGCAGCAAGCAGCTGCCTCAGGCCATCATCATCGGCGTGAAGAAGGGCGGCACGCGGGCGCTGCTCGAGTTCCTGCGCGTGCACCCCGACGTGCGCGCCGTGGGCGCCGAGCCCCACTTCTTCGACCGCAGCTACGAGAAGGGCCTCGCCTGGTACCGGTGAGCGGGCGCCGGGCACTGGATGGGCCGGCAGGGCGCGGAGGTGTTTGGAGTGGTGGGGGAAAGGGCTCCAGAAAGCCGATGTTGACCGCCAGTTCACTTCCGTCTCCATTTCAGGCAGAAGGCAAAGGGGCGGCTGTAGTTGTCCGTAACTTGAGGGGTCTCTTTCCCCACCGTGCCGCCTTCTTTTTTTTTTTTTTTTTCCGGACAGCGGTGCCATCCACTGTCCACGTGGATGGGTGGCCAATTTGGGCCTTCATGCTTTTTTATTCAGTCCTCAGGATTCCCTTTCCTCCGAATAGCCAATCTCATCTTTTTCTTCTGCTTTGTGACAGGATCCTTGTTAGCTAAAGGGGGGTGGGGGCAAACAAACAAACAAACAAAAAAACAAAAAAACCTTTCCTAAGTCAGAACCTGCTCATCAATCATTACTAGATCTATCCCCTTTCCCAAGGAACCTGTTTTCATTTCTTCTTTACCTTCTGGGCAATTCCCTGTGGTTAATGCAGACTTTGCCATCAGGTATTTATTTACCTTGACCTTTTGCCAGATAATTATCGTAGGTGGTGAGTAATATAGAAACTTCGTTAAAGTGTCAAGAACTAGAGTCTAAGTAGCCGGAAAATACATGTTTGAGCAAGTGCCAGCCACGGGTCACTGTGTTTTAAAGGTCTTCCTTGGTCATAACTTCTGCTGGGGGGAAGAATGAGTTTTATAAAGTGCTGTCTGTAATTATAAGGAGGAGTACCTTTTGTCTCAGGACTGGGAGAAACTTTCCCAAAGCTCTTCACACAATTCTTCTCAAAAACGAGGTGGCTAATTTAAAAAAAGGGGGGGGGGAAATATAGGGACAGTGGTTACAATTTAAAAGAAGTCTGATTTAGATTTTGATCTTAAATTGACCATTCTTATCAAATTCAGCCCACTTTTAATAATAGAATCAGTTAAATAAACTCTAATAAATCCTAGTGTCACCTGGATTTCGTTCCCCATAAAATATTGGCTTTTTTTTTCCCTCTGAGAACAAGGAAAAATCGTGTGGCCAGAATTTTCCATTGTATAGTTTTATCTTGTTCTTTCAATGGCAGTCTCCTTGTCATTTTAACTGAAACAATATTACAAAAGTTACAATACGATTTAAATATATTTCAAAAGACCACTAAATCAACCATGCAGCCCTGAAATAGAGATGGACAGGACTTGACAAGTTTATTTACATGAGAGGTCAGATGCACTCTCAGATGGATTTCAGGAGCTGAATTTACAGTAACCCAACTCATGAGAAAACATTTGGTCCTAAAAGTCAAATTTAAACATTAAACCACTTTAAAACAGTAACTTTCCATTTATTGGAAAGAAAAACAAACAACCTTTCCTTAATACAGAATATATATCATTTAAAATCATCAGCCTCTTAAAAAATTCCCTTGTGTTTCTGTCATTTATGTTGTATCCTCTGGGAAGTTCTCATAAAAATGACCTGTTGAATCTGAAAACAACAGGTCCTTCTTTTTAGCACAAAGGCAGCTCTGTTTTTTCCATCAAGGACACAAGAAAGAAGTGATTAAAGGCCCCTAAAACTCTTATCTATAGCACTTTGCATTGAATTCGGCCTCGTACAGTGTATAAGGGAAGACATTTCAAGCTGACTGCCCAGAATATCTAAGACAATGTTTGCTTCTGAGGTGCTATTATATGTGGTGAAATATTTAGTACTAAAACCCTTTGCTTAAATTTTACCATTTAGACTTCATTTCCACAAAGTAGGATTGTTTCTTCTTATTACAGAAATGAGTATTTAAGGGCACTGTATATCTGGAGACCTGGATCTTATTTTCCATGGACCTTTCTGAACTTGTGTAAGAGAAGAAAAGCTTCAAGGTAACTGGAAATACAAGTATTAAAAAAGAGAGAGGGAGAGAGAGAGGGAGGGAGAAAGAAGCCACAAACATTTAGAGCATTCTCTCATTTGGATCCTGCATGCATGCTGTAAAGTAAATCTGTCTTTGGATTGTTTACTCCAGCAGAGGAGTTCTATAAAGCAATTTATGGTGGTTACAAAAATAACTGCACAGTAGACTTCATGGTTTGGTGAATTTAATTTCCTAAGTGTTGGAGCGATGTCTTTGTTTTACCATTTGCAGTGGTTTTTTATTGGATGCATAAATTTAAGTTTAACTCAAGAAAACTCTTATTTAAAAAAATCCAAGCTATAGAGTCTGGATTATGTGATCATTTAATGAAATTTTGCCTCAGTTCTCTTTCGTTTGGCCCTGAAGTTGGAGTTTGGTGTTTGTGAGAAAGATTGAAGACCTTAACTTTGGGGGGGGGGAGAAACAACTCCCACACAGAATGCCACTTAACTGTGAAGTGCGTTTTAGCTGTTTGCATTTAGCCACTATTTCAGCATGAAGGATTCTGTTAGGTTTTCTTGAATTGGCCCAAAATGTGTAGTGTAGGGCTTCTGTCCCACATTTATAGCCACACATGCACATGGATACACACACACATGAGCAGAAAGGAAACCCCAGTATTTCCCCCCAAAGTGAATTGTGAAAGAGAAAAATGTGTATAATATCTTTCATATGAGTAATTTTTTCAATTTATTGAACTTGAGAGAGAGAGAGAGAGAGAGATGAAGGGAGAGACAGAAACAGAGAGGAACACTGATTTAATTGTTCCATTTATTTATGCATTCATTGGTTGATTCTTGTATGTATCCTCACCAGGGATTGAACTCGCAACCTTGATGTTGGGACGAAGCTCCAACTGACTTAGCTACCCAGCCAGGGCTAATATCTTTTAGATGCTCATTGACATAGGACAATCACTCATAAATATCTAGCCTGGCTTCTTTTTGCCCAGTGAAATCTCCTAGTTTGCATTAATAGTTTGTTGTGGCAGTGAGTGCCCCCTACTGTCTTTACAAAGGGACAAATCTGTTGCAGACAGGAAGTTTCAGAAAATGAGTGTGAGAGTTAGAAGTGTGTTGCTAAAATGTTTCAATAAACTAACTTCATGCTGTGAAAAACATAAAATACTTAATAAAGTGCATCCCAAGAATAGTGTAATCAACTGTTTTTTGAACAAATGTGTAGTAAAGGCAAAAAAATTAATTTATTTAAAATCTTCACAAAAGAAATTTTTCTAATTAATTTTAAATGTCCTAACATTAAAATAAATGAAACAAAGGAAAATTGTAATATGCCAGGAAATTTGTTAATGATAATTTAGGATGCTTCAGTGTAAATATGAAACTCCACCCTGATGGGCTTTAAAAAACATTCCATATTACTTAATTTAGCAGACATGATATCAACCCAACAAATGTCTGTGGCTTGCATGCCACGGTAAAGCAGTCCTTTGCAGTGAACAGTCTCCGCTTCAATTGTGTGTGTGGTGGGTTCATAAACAAAATAGGGAACTGTTGCATTAGCTTCTCAACATTCGGATCTTTTCTGGAAAGTCAAGGCCAAATGCCTCGACTATGTAGTTCAACAGCAGGTGAGCTTAGAATTTTCTGCTGTCTTCCTCTCTCCCTGTGTATATCTGCACCAGTGAGAAGGTGAGCTTTTTTTCCCTCCTAAGACAAAACATACCTACTTATGAAGTATTTAAAGATGTATGTGCCTTTATATAATATATATGGGTGTGCATGTTCATATGTACATATGTACATGTTTATATAGGTGTGTGCATTTCTAAACATTTATAAACATGTTTATAAATGTTTGGTTTCTGTAACTGCTTATTCTCCTGTTTTGGTACAAGATAGTAAGTATTTATTATCCAATCTTGTATACTAGCACATTTATTTCTTATGTTTTGAGTTGTTTTCTTTAGCAAGACGGGACAATTTCAGCCGAGATCAGTATCACTTTGTTTTACTCTATAGCATTCAGGAAGATCAAAGTTTACTTAGTTTGGTATTTAAGAGTTAGTTCTCCCCCGACTTCATCAAAATTTGAAGTTTTCTGGCTTCTAGTGATCATTGCCTTGTTTTTCAAGTCCACCAGAGGGGCAGGCTGAACAGAGGAACTTTTGGTTCCAATCAGGAGGAACCGGCATTTCGTGGCAGCTGGGAGCAGCTGCAAAGCACCCCCATGTTCAGTTTCCCACCCTCCTGAGCCACGAGGCCCTTCTGCATGAAGGGTTGGAAATGAAATTTGAGCCAAGGGAGCTGCAGGGTTTGGCTATCCATGCTAGGTTATATGCACTGAAGTCCAAAGAAGTCTCTCTGTCCTTGGGGCCTAGTTAAGTACATGGAGAAGGGAAGATGGGTGGGAGGAAAGCAGGAAGAAGTTGCTTTGGGCCCTGAGTTAGGGCCCATGTCTACATGGGGGAGGATATAATGTCTCTTATGCATATAGTTCTCAGGAGCGCTCAGTGATGGGACACTCTCCATCCACTGAGGGACTGCAAACAGATGAGAGGCTGAAGCCCTTAGAGAAGCTGCAGTGCTGTCGTTTTGTTTGCTGAATATCTGAGCTCCAGGCTCATCATCCCAGGAGACTGTCCAGCAAATAAATCAAGTAGCCTAGGTCTTATGTATCTGCCAGTTGCATACCTGCCAACATTTGCATGCTAGACCAGATGCCTAGTAGGGGGTGAAAATGAGGGAATTGATCATGGGAAAGTTATTAGTGGTTAGGGAATTTCTGAACAATATATGACACCTAGGGTATGGAACAGTCTTTGGAACTACTGAGTCCAGGCATTAAAAACAATAACAACACCCTGGCTGGTAGCTCAGCTGATTAGAGCATCATCCTGATATGCCAGGGTCACAGGTTCCATCTCTGTCCTTATAGAGCGCTTACCAGAAGCCAGGGAGGAGTGGAACGGCAAAATCAATGTTTCTCTCTCTCTCTCTAAAAGGTCAATCAGTAACCCAACAACAACAAAAACCACAGATAGTCTGGCCTTGGAATACTTCATGTGAATGAATAGTCCTTCATAACAACAAGACGTATCATGTGCTGATATACTTTATGTCAAAT